TGGCATGCCAGAAATAACAAGAAGCATGGGAAATCACATTGTACATCTACCACAGTGGCATCAATGTGCTGGAATAATTTACCGACCCCTCTTTATACCAAATTTCAAAGCACTGAGGGTCAGCCTTCTAGCATCCCCCACTTCGGGTTGGGTAAAAGTCAATGTCGATGGTGCATTAAATTCATCGGGACGGGCTGGTATTGATATTGTCATGCATGATGAGTCGGGAGAACTTATTACGACTATGAGAAAAGGACTTCCTCATTGGGACAGCACATAAGTGGAAATGATGGCAGTTTTAGCTCTCTCTACTCTCATTGAAGATTGGATGACAGAATGTTGAGGGATTATTATAGAGACTGACAACTCCAACGCCATGGACTTTCTGCGAAGGAGTATGGATAAAAGGTGCTGACAATTGGAGGTGCCTAGTAATCCAAATTTTGCTTTTTTGTCCAGATTCAAGCAAGTTATTTTCCAACACATCTTCAGGAGCAACAACAGAGTTGCTCATACTTGTGCCAGAATGGCCATAGATAAGGATTTTATTTTGTATGTTATGAATGTTGATGATCCTCTTTTTATTTTTTGCAAGAGGAAAAGAGCCAGCTTGTTTAGTGTCCTTGGACATAGTTTTGTTGCTTTTCTTTTGATTAATGCAAATGTAATATTTCAAAAAAAAAATGTAATTTACAGTATTGCTTATCAGTCATTTGTTTCAATTGATTGAGTTTTTTTTCTAAATTTAAATAGTCTTAAAATTATTTCAAATCAAACCTAGAGCATAAATTCCCTAGCTTCAATATCTAAAGACCTTGGTTCATATGAAATGATTTATGGTAAAACTCAGCCATACAACACTTAAGCGGTGACATTCCAATCAAACTGTGAGTATTGATAATATAGAAAAAAATTATGCCCAAGGCAAAATTTCCAAACATTATGACGGCATATTTCAAAGTAGCACAAACAATATTACAAACAACTATTGATAATCTCTAATTGTCTGTCAATTCTAAATGACAAGAATTGACATTGCCTCGGTGAGCAAATAATTTTTCCAAAAGAAACTAGAAAAAAATGAGCAAGAAAATAAGAGACCTAGCTTTGATATAATCACATGTGAAAGTCAATGCAACTTACAAATATTAAAATCAAATGTGGCGGCCACTGATAAAGTGCAGGTTTTGGGAGGAAAAAAAATAATTATTCCTCTTCAATTTCAAAGAAAATGATAATAAGATAAATAGAGAGGGACGGCTCCCATAGTAAGAAACTAATAAAATCAGCCATAACTACTCATGCATGATAAAAGAAGAAAACAAGAATTATGACAAACCAATAATTCTAACTTCTAGAAATAGAAAATAATAATAATAGAATATACTAAAAATAAAATCTTTGTAAGAACCAACACACCCCTCAAGCTGCAGCATTGATATCTATCATGCCCAACTTGCTTACAAGGAGCTCAAAATTAGGCTTGAACAATCCTTTGGTGATTTGCTATTTGTTGAGCAATAGGAACAAATGGCATACAACTAGCTCCACAATCAATCTTCTCTTTTATGAAGTGTTTGTCAATCACCGCATGTTTTGTTCGATAATGCTGCATTGGATTTTCTGCAATGATTGTGATTGTTTTATTTTCACAATATAACTTCATTGGCAACCTTATCGAGATCTACAGCCCCCCACGAATTCTTTTCAACCATAAAGTCAACATACTTCATTAGCAAAGACCTTGTATTCTAGCTCAGCACTACTCCTTGCAACCACATTCTATTTCTTTGGCATGTAACCAAGTTTCCCCACATATAGGTGCAGTATCTAAAAGTTGATCTTTCAATAACTGAGTCTACCCAATCTATATCAGTGTACGCCTCTATGCCCTTTTATGTGGTCCTTTGAAAGAGTAAGCCTTTTCCTGGTATATCTTTTAGATAATGGAATTTTGTTGACTGCTTCAAGGTGTTTTTCATGGAGTGAATGCGTAAATTGATTTATCAAACTCAGAGCAAAAGCAATATATGGCCTGGTATGTAAAAAGAATACTAGTTTCCCCACCAATTTTTGATACCTAACTATATTCATTGAATAACCTTCCTTCTCATCTCCCAACTTTTTATTGGGATTAATTGGAGGGTCTGCATGTTAAAACTCACTCATCCTAGTTTCCTTGAGAAGATCAAGAGCATCCTTCCGTTAGGAGACAACAATTCCTTTTTTTCGATCAAGCAACCTTCAAGCCAAGGAAATACCTCAGAGATCCTAAGTCATTGGTTTAAAGAACAGATGATAAAGAAGTCTTCAAACTATTCATCTCATATGCATCATTTTCGGTGAGAATAATATCGTCCACATACACAATTAATATGGCTATATTCCCATCATTTGAATGTCTAAAAAACATTGTATAATCTCATTGCCCATGAATATACCCTTAACATTTAACAAATAGTGTAAATTTCTTAAACCACGTTGTCAGTGACTACTTCAGCATGTATAAGAACTTTTTTAGTTCACACACCTTTGTACCAAACTTCTCGTTGAATCTCAAAAGTGTATTCATTTACACCTCTTCCTCCAAGTCTCAATTGAGGAAGACAATCTTTATATTCAACTATTGTAGGAGCCAGTCAAAATTAGTTCCAAGTGACAGAAAAACCCTTACAAAGTTTAATTTTGTGATTAGAGTGAATGACTAAATAATCAATTGTATAGGTTTGCATAAATCCCTTAATAACCAATTGAACCTTGTACCGTTCTAGAAAGCCATCAGAAATATACTTAAATGTAAACACTCATTTACACCCAATAGTAATCTTTCTTATAGATAGAACAACCAATTCACACATGCTATTTTCTTTCAAGAGTTTTCATTTTCTAGAAAATAGTTTACTTCCACTTAGCGACTTGCAGACATCTTGCACAGTTCTAGGAATTTCCATACCCAATAATTATGTGGTAAAAGCAAAGAAAGTGTGTGAGAAGTTTTCATATGACACTTAATGGGATAATGGATATTGGGTGCAAGACATTTCTCCAATGAGAAGGATATACTCAATAAACTCAGGGCTAAAAGACTCAAAAATTGAAGATGAAGTAGACTAAACATGTGGTAAAGGATTAGTGAGAACAATACTTGTTGTGGATTTTAGACAGTATAAAATATTCGTGGACCCTTTTAATTAAATTTTCCTCTGTCGTAAGTAGATAATATCAAACGGCACCACTATCGTAGTTCTTTTTCCTAATTATTCTTTATTATAAATATCATGAGATGGCATTATAAGAACATCAATATCTAAAAGACTCGACACTCTCTCCTGATATAAAATCGCTTGTGTTTTTCAGGTTGAACAATTAAGGATAGAGAAATACTATTTTGAGTTTCTTCAATTTGAAAAAAAAAATTATTTTGTTCCCTCCTTGAAGATAAGGTTTCAAAAAGATTGCAATTAAAAAAAAAGTAACATCTATGATAACAAATATATTTTAGACTTTAGATCAAAGCATTTATATCCATTTTGGATAGGAGCATACCAAGAAACACAATTTTAGTTAGGGATTCATGTTTTCCTTGATTATGAAGGTGAATGAAAGCAATACACTCAAATATCTTTAGAGATAGAAAAAATTAGAGATGATTCTTTTGAAAAAAAATCAAAAAAACATCAAAAGGTGCTTCAAAATTTAAAACTTTATTGAGTATTCTATTTATGAGAAAAATAACAGTAAGAACTGGTTCACCCAAAAAAAATTTAGGCATCTGACTAGTAAATAGCAATTCCCGAGCAACATACAATAAGTGTTTGTATTTCCTTTCAACCACGCCATTTTATTTGTGAAGTGTTGGCACAAGAGCTATGATGAATTATTCATTTTTCGAAAAACAATTGACCCAAAATATTATTGAAATATTCTCGATTATTATCATTCAGTAATATTTGAATGATTTTGGAATTGCGTGTGTACCATGGTATAATTTTCCTTTTAAATTATTTTCATTTCAGATTTTTCTTTCATTAAACAAACCTAACATAACCTAGTGTGATCAACAATAAAATTCATAAACTATTTTTCCTCAGAATGTGTAAGATTTTTATAAGGACTCCAGATATTGTTATAAATTAAAATAAATTGCGTAGTTAATTTGTAAATTTATGGAGAAAACGATGCATGAGGATCTTTAGCAAACTGAAAAACTTTATATTAAAAAAAGATAAATTTTTATTCTAAAATAATTTGTGATACAAGTATTTTAGATACTAAAAACCAGGATGACCAATATATCATGTCGTATAATTCCATTGTCAGAGAAACAGAAAAAGAATTAAAATCGGTACTTTGACAATGTTTATTTGAGTCAAGTTCATCATTAAACTAATATAATTCATCATTTTCCTTAGTACTGTCAATCATCCTCCCTATGATCAATTCATAAAAGTTATAACAAAAAGAATAAAAATTAGTTTGACATTGATGATCATAATTTAATTTACTAATAACAATAGCATGGAGAATCACGTGAAGGGTTAACCATGATGAAAGCTTGACAATTCCTATCCCAGCAACTACCAAGAGGGAACTATCAGTTCATTCAGGGAATTTAAAATATCGAACAAAATTTCTAAAATTAACATAATTTAAGAAGAAAAATTGCATATGGCTGGCATGATAAGGACAATCATCAGTAAAGTTCTTTATAAATTCAAAATATGCACGCAATTTTATTTTGCTCGCATAAAGCATATGGCTATGTATTTACACGGGAACAAAATATCAGTTCATGCTAACAATTTCTCCCATTTAAAAGTAATTAAAAATGGTTTACAACCAGAATAATAAAAAAGATCAACCAACTTGAAGAGTAGGGACCTAATTCATAAGATATCTACGCTTCCTCCAACCCCAACATAACGAATTTCAACCAAAGAAGAAATGCATCCAAAAGAAATGGAGAAAAGAATTATAACACCATAAATCGGGCTATTTACCTACACTCCTCCCGATCACTCTCACTCCTTAAAAGAAAACCCTTGTAAGCTGCATCCACCACGCCGACCTTCTCCTCCTCCACGGATGCGCTCTTTTCCCTTTCATCTCCTTTGGCATCGACTGCCTCTTCCGAATGCGATGTCATTAACACCTGATTAGGGTTTGGTTTCCTATCAATGTTGCTTTCCAACCCCTCCCCTTCCCCATTGCCGCTCGGCTCTTCTTGGCCCATATTGCAGCATCGATTATAAATAACGATATTGATACATTATAAGCCCTAATACGAGCTCTGGTTATCGATGCTGGATCCTCTTTGTATTGTATCTAGCTCCTCACAAGTGATTCATAACCCGAACAAGAGACGGCGAATTGGAGCGGTCAATATTCCATGAGTGAAAAATCAATGAGGTAAATGGAACCAGAATGATCAATGACGATGGTGGCCAAAGCAATGAACGTGAACTGCTTTCGCGAGAAAGAAAAAATTGAGAGAACAGAGGAAGCGATCGCGTAATTGCATGCGTGGGTGGCAGAAAAATTATTCCATGCGGATCCGGATTTACGGTACTGATGTATTTCGGTGGGCCTCACCTAAAATTTTTTATTTTTTTTTAAAAAAACGGAAATAATCCTGACCGTAGATCATCGTGATCTACGGCCAGGATCGAACACCGCATGCAGAGATGCATACGATGTCCGCACTCAATAATCCCCGTGGCAGGGCGTGCGAACCGAAATGGTTTCACATCTTTTATTTAGTTTATAGTTTTTTTTTTTTTTTAAATTGAAGTTTACAAAGAAAAGTTTGACTTCATGTTCATTATATAGAATTGGAAACACATATTCACTATAATTTATTTGAAAAGTATAATTAAAATTTTATATATTAAAACAATCATCAACACTACTTCCAATTATATGCACTACCAAATATTTAATTTATGTGATATCAATTTCACATAATATTCAACTTGATTATTGAAAATTCACTATAATAATTATTTACTTTTTGAAACTTCAATGAGAGCATTAATTTATGTGTATTTTATGACATACTATGTTTAATCAAATATTAAAGATCATCAAAGAATAATTATAACCAAAAAATAGTGTGAATTGAATGTACAAAATAGTACCTAACTTGGTATCTAAAGCTACATATAAGTAACTATGCACCATAGATAGGCAATTAGACGAGGGCCTGGTGGGCGCCATACTAAATCTTGACCAAATTTTGGCGATGCCTCTTACTTTTCAGCTTTTTTAAAATCTTTTTCTAGAGTTTCAAAGTTGCAATTTTAAGAAGAATTGGAAGAGAATATTAAGAGAGGTTCGAGGCACCAAAAAAAAAATGGAAAGGCCGCAGGAGAGGTGTGAGAGCCTATATAATTTAGTTTTTTTAGCTCTTTTCTTTGTAACATTGTTTATCATACTTATTTATATATTTTTTAGGAATTTTTAGTAATTATCATGAATTAAATCATTTTTTCTAGCTATTAGGTGCAACCATGGTTGCTTGTATTGGATTCGAGTTTAAATGAAAGTTTAAAGTTTTTATTATTACAATTATCACATATTTTTTTATGATATTGATTGATTGTTTGGCCAATCTTGATAGATTAAAGAAAAATAGCATGATAAATAGATTGTAGGATACAAATAACCACAAACACTTTATGAAGTAGTAAGTAGGTTTTGTGGAGAAAACAAAAATCTTAGAGAAAACAAAAATCTTACTCTTTTAGGAGAAAGGTAGTCAACACCTTTGATCAAACTTTAATAGAATAAAATAAATCTCTTATCTAATTTAAAAATTAGTCAACCAAGTAATCATAGATGAAATCAAATCCCTAAATCTTAGCCATCCTCATTTTATCTTATTAATTTTTTAGATTAGTACTTTAATTTGTCTTCTAATTACCATCAAGATAATATCATACACACCTAATTTCACTAATTAGTGTTCATTTCCTATGGGATGGTATTCTTATTCGCACTTTAATACTTTTTTAAACTCATTCTCTAGCAAGCATGATATTATGTGTGGTACACGCCTGCCCCATACAATGTTCTTAGCATTTTATTGGAATTGCAATGTTGATATCAATACTCATTTTGTATTGTTATTTCAAGTATGCTTTATTTTATTTTTTTAATCTTATTTTACATTTTTTGCCTACTTGGTTTATAGATTTTGTCATGTTGAATGTGTTGTGGGGAAGGTGAGCCACTGCTAGTTGTAAATCTTGAAGTTAATTGCTTATTTTTTAGAAGGTTAAGAAAGAGTAGTAAACCGAGAGCTTGACCAGTTATAATAAGAAAACAATAATGAAGAAGCAGTCTTGTTTATAAGGGTTAGGATTTTGTTAAACTATGCACTTCTAATGTTGCATGGCATCCTCTAATCAATTTTTAAACTAGCAAGCTAATATTTTGTGATCAAATTATCAACCCTACAATGATACAAAAATTCCATTTCATGGGCTTAGCGATAAAGAATTTCAACTTTCAAATCTTAAATTTTTTGAAGATATGTTACATCTTCAAATAAAATAGTGTCATACAATACAATCTAATTATGGATGTTATCATTTTCTTGAAGTGATAGAGAAAATAGTTAGATAAATTTATTGTCAAGCAATTCTATTATTAAGAAGATCTCTTGACATAAAAACTCTTATCAATTGCTTTCAACCAATAATGATTGCCAAAATGAGTTGGTTGTGCCAACATAAAATATCTTATTGTCGCATTGTCATCATATTTATGAGAGAGAAATGGGAGCAACATATGGCTTACTTGAAGAGATGTTCATGACTAACTACTTATGATTGAGTGAGAGAATCCTACCAAAGAAGCCAATTGCCACTATACAAGAGTTGGATTTCATTTTTGCAATCATTTCACAATTGCTTCTTAGACAAAGAAATAAAGCTCTTTCATAGTGAATGTTGTCCCTAGTCTTCGATTATACTATGAACGTTATAGAGGTGGTCATAAAAGAAGTGAGTACTAAAAACAAAACCTATTTGTGTAGCCATACATAGAGGAACTAAACTTTGCAAGGAACCTTCTATACAACCCTTGATCAAATAACCATAATAAGGGATGGAAAAGAAACCCAAGTTTCTTATAGAAGAACACAAAGGTTGGACACCATCTAGTTGGATTCCAATAACCATAAAGGCGTCATCAACAAAGAGCATATCATAAGTTTTTTTTCCTCTACAACAAAGTCCCGCACAACTGATGAATGAGGATATATCTCTAAAATATGCATTATCATAGTTAATGATAATGAAGATACAATTCATAATGTGAATGGAAGCTACTTTGTAGAGATATGAAGCCTTACTTCAGAGATTAGAAATTATAATTAAGAATATTGAAGTATAATTGGGATAGATATCATAATAGTAAGTATAGAGATATCATGATGCTCTCTATTAAAATACTGAAGTTGATTTAAGCAACTGAGTAATATTTTCAGCTTGAGAAGGGAAATGCAACTAAAGAAGTTAGTAGACCAAGAGAACCAAAATCTAAAAAAAGTTATTTTTGAAAAGATTAAAGCCACCCAAAGATCTAGTGAAAAAAGATGGATAGATATTTGAAGAGGAATTTTCCTAAAAAATTTTATTATGAAAGCTAACAGATTTGTGTTCTCCAAGGAAATTTTCTCTTTTTGTGTTAAATTGGTAATTAAGCCAAAAGACATCATGATCAGAGAGCACACCAAAAATCTTAAAAAAACCACACTATGTTCCATCAAGAAGACACTCAAGGACCTTGGACAAAGGAGCACTAAGTCTAGTCCATTTATTATAAACAATCCATAATAAAATGTAAATAAAATGGAAAATAGTTTGAAATGTACAAATTTTTTAGTGTCAAGTTGAGGATGTTATACAAAACACTTTTTAGGAGACAATAATACTTTTATAATTTAAAGTTTATTTATTTTGTTTTTGGTTTTATTTTATTTATAAATTTAATTCTACTTTTATTTTCTTAAGATGAGAAGTGAAAATCAATGTGAGAGCAATAACACCGCCCCACCGATAAATTTGAGTCCCATTTTAGTTATTTTGAATTTATGTTCATTGTTTTTATTATTATAGATTTATGTTTTTCTATCTTTCTTTATTCCACTACAACATTTCAATTTTTTTATTCACCTATATTTGTCACTTTGGTTACCTATTTATTTTGATTCTTATAATGTGTTGTCACTTATAACATGATTTGTTTTAAGTAAAGGGGAACAGGTTGTGTCTAGCTTTGAGCTTCACCTTTATCTTAGTTAAATTTTCATATTAAAATAATTATTTTGATACACTATAATATTTTTGTTATTGATATTTTAGATGGGGATATTTAATCATCTACGTGAAATTTACAACTAATTATATTAATGAGATGTACCTATTATTTAATATATTTCAATATAATTATACCCTCATAGTCATATTATTTATACTATTATGATACATTCAAATTAAGCCTATAAATTTAAAGTAAGGTTGGTAATAAAGATGGATGTCTATGCCTTTGAGTCATATGGTACATTACAAGATTTTTATCTTTTTGATTTCATAACATAAAAAAAATAAGTAGAATTTAGATATAAAAAGTTTTTCAGTTAGGCATTTTCAACATTGAAAGAGAAAAGAGAAATAAAATAGAATGAGATTTTTCATCCAAAAAAGGGGAAAAAGAAGAAAAATATAGGGGTGGGCAAACAAGAAATAAAAATAATAATAGTCATTAAAGGGTGGGTGTTACTACCAGAGCATAAAAATAAAGAAAGATATTTAAATTTATACTCACTTTTCATAATAGACCATATGTTGGTCCATTCATGCAAAAATTCAAAGATCCTAAGAGTGGTAGAATATTCAAAGCGAATGGACAAAGGCTAAAACATTACCTGGGTGGTCAAAGACCTATTGTTAATGAAGTCTTAATGTTGGGTCAATCTGAGAAAATTTCTAGAATCGTCGGGATGATGACGTTAAACCAAGTGCTTCTTAGGAGGCAAATCAAGTTTGTTTTTATTGTTAGTGTTTTTGTTATTATTTGTTGTGGGTTGTATTGTTTATATTCATATGTTGATGTTTAAGATTAAGACTGGTTTGCTTTAATTTCAATGTGATTTGAGGGAGGTAATTCCTTAGTCTTCTCGTTGTGATTAGAATTGTATATGTTCTCTAGAAGTAGTAGGATCAACCAAATCCTCTACATCTTAGTTCGCAATCGAGCTTAAAGATATATCAAGGACATGTTGAGTTTGGACATAGACTAGTCCATCTCAATTCTTTACTTCCTATTTTTGACCTAGTTCTTCCATTTGGGTGGTTCAATAAACCAACCATTTGAGGAGCTTGTGGAATAGATTTTCATTTGAACTGCCAGTGGTGTATACCTTTGTAGACAATAGTACTTGGGATTGACAACACATCTGTCAATAGTAAAGATATTCCAATATACTGGTGCTAAGGTGTTATACCCAAGTGCCTTGGTGCCA